TGGTGTGGGGTAGGAGCGGGTGGGGGAAGGTCAGTGGGGGGGAAAAGGAGATATACTACTATGTGTAATACTTTAAACAATAAAAAAAATATTTAAAAAGAATTTAGAGAAGGAGCTGAGGTATGGGTGGGGTACAGGGCTCTGGGTCATTTCAGTGGTGTCTGGGTGCCCACTTTTCCTGCTGTCTCAGGGGTGCTCCCATTTCCCTTCTGTGGTAGTGACAATGACCGGGCCAACCTAATGTGGAAGCGTTACCTGGAGCGAGAGGACAGCAAGATTGTGGGTATGGAACGGCACGGCAACAGGGAAAACAGGGAAATAAATTGCGGGGGGGGGACCTGGAGTGGGAGTGCAGGCCGGGGAGAAAGAAGATGATGCTGTCAAGGGATGTGGGAACAGCTGGGTGATAAAAATGTGGAAAAGGGGTGCGGGGCTTCTAGGAATGTTGGTGAGGGGAATCAAGGTCAGGCAAAGTGGTGGGAAGAGAAATGCTGGCAGGCGTCCGGCCTCGGTGACTCTCCTGCCCTCTGCTTCCGTCTAGACCTGTTTGTGGGCCAGCTGAAAAGTTGTCTCAAGTGCCAGGCCTGTGGGTATCGCTCCACGACCTTCGAGGTGTTTTGTGACCTGTCCCTGCCCATCCCTAAGGTGGGATTCCAGAACATTCCAAGGGTGGATGGGACGGGTTTGGTGACCCAACCTCGCTGCCCGCAGAGTGTGGGAAGGAACCCTTTGGGTCTCTGGAGGAGACGTGAAGCCTGGGTTGAGGACGAGTTGGGGAAGGAAATGCTGAACGTGCTGACCCTTCGCTCCCCTTTCCCTCCAGAAAGGATTTGCTGGGGGCAAAGTGTCTCTGCGGGACTGCTTCAGCCTCTTCACCAAGGAAGAAGAGCTGGAGTCGGAAAATGCCCCAGTATGTGGGGTTCGAACGGGATGTAGTGACTCTGGGGACTCTGGGGGGCTCCGTATGGGTTAAAGGGGTTGCATGATGCCTGACTGTGGGGAATAACATTTGTATGTCTGGGTTTCTGTTGGTCTCAGGTAAGTCCTAGTACTCTGGGGGCAAAGGAGGCCCAGAGCGTACAGAATTAATGGGGAGTAGTAAATTGTATGTGGCCAGGGTGTCGGAAAAGCCATTCGAGGTGAGGAGCACAGTAATCTAACATTATTTGATATTCAGGTGTGTGACCGATGTCAGCAGAAAACACGAAGTACCAAAAAGTTGACAGTACAGAGATTCCCCCGAATCCTCGTGCTCCGTATCCTCGTCTCCAGACCCCATTCCCTCCGCCCACTCTCTCAGTCCCATGTTTGCAGAGGCTGGATTACTGGCAATTGAATTTTCCTTAGGAAACCGCCTCGCCCTGCCATGCTCCCGGTATTCCTTGGGGGAGGGGAGTGGACAGCATTCAAGATCTCAGTCCCCTCGGAGGCCCCTCTCGCCCCGCCCCCTCTAACTGCTCCTTAACCAGGGCTTAGATCTGAATCGGTTTTCCGCCTCCCGAGGCTCCATCAAGAAAAGCTCCGTAGGTGTGGACTTCCCGCTGCAGCGCCTGAGCCTGGGGGACTTTGCCAGCGACAAAGCCGGTGAGTCTGGTGGGAAGGCCCTGGGAGCGCCAGAAGGGGAGGCGAGCGGGGGGCCCAGC